TGCTATTGCCGAGAATCGAACCTGAATTTTTTTTTTTTAAGTGGGACTCGCATTTTTAGTCAAAACGACGTCGTTTTGCATCGTATGCACCATGCGCATGGTGCATTCGGTTGCACATCATAACTAGTTGGCAAATCATTGAAGGCCCATAAGAAATGGAGCATCAACTTCATCCTCTTTTGGGGCAAATTATACCATGCACCAGGGCGCACAATGCATTGTGCATTCTGGCCCAAAACGATGTCATTTTGTAAATTTTTCTGTGTCTGCTGTTAATTTTTTTAAAAAAATCTCATGTTTCGAATGTATATAATTGTATAATAGAATATATAGTATTTTATAACAGAATATACATAATCCTTGATAATACACATAATATAATCTAACGTAATACACATAAACTCTTAACTCTTTAAAAAAATTCTCATGTTTCGAATGTACAGAATTATATAATATAGTGTACAGAATTTTATAACAGAATACACATAATCTTTTTTGAAAAGATAATACACATAATCTAACATAATACATAATACTCATAAACTTTTAACTCTTTAAAAAAAATTCTCCTGTTTTGAGCGTACAGAATTGTATAACAGAATGTACAAAATTTTATAACAGAATACATATACACTTCGTCGCGTCAATTCCTTGCACAACTTAACAAAATAATGTTGTTTTGGAAGACACGAGACGCACATTATGTGCGTCGTGATGCAAGGTATAACGATTGCTCTTTTGGTGGCCCATCTGCTGCAATCGCATTGGTCGGTAGTTGGTTTTTGTCCAATTACACTTCCCCAATGGTGGACTAATTTCATCACAAAGCACACAGATTCAGCGGTTGTCAGATATATAGATGAGGCAAAAAAATCAAAACCAGTAGGCATTGGAGAATGTTGTTGAGAGTTATTTATCATTATGATTATGACATCTCAACTATTATATTTCCAGATCTCCACCCTCCACCTATATATTTTACACCCTTCTTTCATTCTCCTCTCTCCCAATAAATGCTAAGGATACTCTAAAAACAGTATATGCAAGAAAATAAGAATCAATCTCAACTTTATATTTTTTAAAATTTGACGGATCTAATTTTATTTAAAACAAATGTCATACATTTTCGTAATTATCGTCAATTTCATTATGCAAACTTAACACTTAAATATGTAATTTTTAACAACTAAATATGTAAATTAGGTAAATTTTATAAAATCAACGAAAAAGCTAAATTTTAAATATAAACTGTAAATGTTAGACCTAAAAAGTTAAGATTATGTTATTCCCACATTATTCTTTTTCCCACCGAATTACAATTCTTCTCTTCCTTAATTCATTCCTTCCAACCAAACGCCCTGTAAATGTGCAAACCTTGACAAGTCTGAGAATTGCATATTTTAGTGTAATTTGCATAGTAAAATTGGTGATAGTTACGAAAATGCCACCACATTTTTTAAAAAAAAAAAAAAATTGATCTGATCTGTCCGATTTTTCTAGATGTAATTCTTATTTATCTTCGATTTGCCTACTCTTTTTTTTTTTTTTTACTTCATTTCATACATAATAGTAGATCCAGTTCAGAATAATAGTATGTAACAGTTAATATTACTCAAAAAAAAAAAATGACGATAAAAATCATAAAATGGAATAGTATGTAGTACACCCACTAGTTGAGCATTTAAATCACAATAGTGCAAGAATTTGACTTCTTCACAAACTACTAAATGCTTTGATAGAAGACTGAAAAGATGCTACATACCTCTAACCTGCAGCTTCGTTCTTCCATCTCCACCTTAATATTGAGACGCATTTTCTGAACAAACAAATTACACGTGACATCTCTCAACATCTTCCATGAATGGGGTCAAATTAAACCTGCTTCACCCAAAACTTGAATTTTTATATATGCCTAATTTACTGTAATAAATATGAGGATGTCACAATATATTATTATTATTACAAGTTTGCATATTTAGTATCTGGCTTTAATATGTTACACCAAGTCTGAACCCTCCTGCATCTTTTAAGCCCGTAAAGTCTCTACTTTAGATACAATTTTTTGAGATTTTGTCAAGAAATGACTCTCAAATTTATTCCAAGTTTCTTTTGGAGTTGCAAAGGTTAAAACGTGATACACAACTTCATTTGCGAGGCATAACCGAATGGTTCTTGTTCGCGATCATTCAAATCCTCCCAATCAGCCTTTTTGAGATTAGCTGGCTATAAAGATTGATATGATTGACTTGATAAGTTCCAACAAAAATAATCTAAGTCCTCAGTTTCGTTTGAATCAATCTCTAAGTATATCAACTTCTCTTTGTAAATTTCTTGATTCCCTTGAAGAAGAATAATATGGCCTTTATACATTATACAAATGATCTCCGTAAATTACTCTACTGATGTAACTATCTTAAACTATTCATTGAACAATCTTTGAGCTGGTTCAGTCATCGATCTTCAAGTCTAAAAAGTGAATTGAACTATTTCCTACTTGTATATACTCTAGTTTAGACTATAACTACTTAATACATTCACTGAACAAGATGTTCAACAACTTTTTTGTTCCATAAAACTTTAACAATATAGAGGGGCAAAAAGTATCTTCGTAAAATCTTTTTCTAATAATCATTTTATTAACAACCCACAATATTATGAAATCTATCATCATCTAGAAAAACAAAACTGAACGTACATTATCTATAAGCCCTATTAGGTGTAATATGATAGAAGAATCCCAAGTTCAGAATCCAAGCATAGAACATTATCTTCACTATAATTTGAGTCATAAGCATGTACCAAGAAGAATAATATCCGACAAATGCATGTTCAAATTGAAGCATGTGTTCCATCTCAACTAAAAGCTTAAGGTGATAGTTGGATTGCACATTAATGACTATGTGCTCACAGTTCAGAACCTGCACTCAGTCAATTTCAGCGTCAATAATCATGACACCCAAGATGATAAATTATAAAGTTGCAAGGTATGTCACTAAATCTGAAGCTATAAAGCCATTTCTTCCAACTGCTAATTGAACAGAAGGAAGAAAGTTTTCTTAGACAGAACTGGATTTAATAGAAGATTAGGGGTCGTTTACCAACTTGGAAAAATGGAGGATTTTTCAGAAAAATGAAAAATGAAGAAGTGAAGAAAATGAAAAATGGAGAAGTTGTTTACTAAATTCCTTTTTCCAAATCCTTATTCTTTCTCCATTTTTCCACTTTATGTACAAATTTGGAGAAACCAAAATCAGATCTCTCCAAATGGAGGAATGGAGAAAACATGTGTGAATAGTACTTGGCGAAGAAGGTTTTGGGTTCGAATCCTGTTAAGCGCGGATTTTTCTCTTAGTCATTTGGGCCTTGCTGTGTGCCTTGGTTTTTTTGTTTTTTTTTTTTTTCAGTCATTCACTCATTTGGGCTTTACTGTGCGCCTAGCTTCTTCTTCTTTCTTTCTTCTTCTTTTTTTTTTTTTTTTTTTTTTTTTTTCATCTTTTCGCATTTCTAATCTTCAGATTACTATTATTAATCACATTATTAATGATAATAATAAACATTAATAATAATAATAATAATAATAATAATAATTATTATTATTATTATTATTAATGTTTATTATTATCATTATTATTATTATTATTATTATCTTCAGTTTTTTGCTTCTTCTACCGATTTTATTATTATTAGCCTCTTCTTCATATTATTATTATTATTATTATTATTATTATTATTATTATTATTATTATTATTATTATTATTATTATTATTATCATCTTCCGTTTTTTGCTTCTTCTACCGATTTTATTATTATTAGCCTCTTCTTCATATTATTATTATTATTATTATTATTATTATTATTATTATTGTTATTATTATTATTATAAATGTACAAATAATATAAGGGATGATAATACTTAATAAAATAGAAAATTAGATAAATAAAAAATTGGAGGAATGGAGAAATGGAAAACTCGAAGAATGGAGAAAAAAAACTTGAGAAATGGATAAATGAAAAACTGGAAGAATGGAGAAAGAAAACTGGAAAAATGGAGAAATGAAAAACTAGAGATGGAAAAACAGAGAAATGAAGTAAACGACCCCTTAGTGTTTTCAAAAAAAAAGATTAGTTGTTAACAGAAAAAGCATTCTTGAAAATCCTTAACCTTTTTTCAATTGAAAAAAAAAATTAAAAAAATCAAACTTGATATCAAAAAACAATAATGGGAACTCTTGTTTAATAAAGATACAGTCAATGATCAATTAATGATTGTAATATTTATATCAGTGTTATATAATCCTGGAAACACAGGGAAAAAATTACTAAGGTATGTTTTGGGATTGTACACTCAGGGACAACAAAGGAATGTGGTTTGGGGAATTTGCGTATAACATGCCACTGGAGACCCCGGAAGCCATAGAAGCTAAAGCCATTGTCTTGGGAATGCAGTGGCTCTAGGAGAGAGGAGTTCGCGAAGCTGAGATCCAAAGCGATGCTAAAAAGGTGATGGAATGGATTCACGCCAGGTGACAACCTTAGGGGACCTATTCAAGGCATTATTGAGGAAGCTAGACTCTAGCTAACTAAGGACTGAAAAATCTCCATTCGTGTTGTCTATAGAGAACAAAATCGGATTGCAGATGCCTTAACCGTTTACAGCGCCTCCCAAAGTGACGCTCTCGTGCCCCGTCATCAATAAAGAGACGTACCTTCAAGATATAGCCCATGTTACGAGTGCTCGCAGAGTTAGGGAGATTCAACTAGTAGCTTGAGTCGCCCCCAGATCTACCCGTCCTTTCGATCAAAAAAGCAAACACAATCTTAACATGTTAAGCAAAGAATAAATTTTATTTTTTTTGATTTAGCAAATCTTCTTAGAATTTAGTAGTGTAGTGCATAAGACTATGGCTAAAATCTCCTTTCCAATGGAGTAATTTTGCTACTTAGCATTCCACACTCCAAAATCATAATATTGAAACTAAACCAAAAAACATAGGCACAATAAATATGCAACATCACTCCATTATAACCAACAAATTTACAACAAAAACTATAATAAACAAATGCTCTAAGCAGTCAGACTATACTGCAGTGTAAAGAAACACATAGGAGTATGAATATTGTTGCATCATTAATGCCTCGAAACGCGAATGCTGCAAGGATTGATGAGAATCGCTATCGCTTTCCCTTCCTTGATTGATCATACCGACGGGAAATACTTGTTGAGGTTGAACGGGAGGGAGTAGAATTCCTCGCTTCGGGTATCGGTTTTGAAAGACCTGAACTTGTCCCACCAATGCTTGCCTCGGTCCCTCCTTATTTGATGATCCCTGTGCATCGTGTTGTCCAAGAAATACGCCAGAATCCCCGCCACAAAAGCCTCCGACGAGAATGGCACGTTCACAATGTCGTTGAACTGAAACGAATAATTCATTAGTAGTGTGACAAAATAGCCAAAACCACCGAAAATTGTAGGGAGCCAAAAGGCGGGGAAGATTAGTTTATGTGCATACCCATCTCCCGCTTGTATGGACGGGTCCATAGCCAGCGATGACTGTGTACTCGTTGAAGTATTGAGGGACGGATAAACCGAGAAAGATTGAAAAGCCTAGTATGAACTTGGTTCGGAAACTATTCAGATTGCAGAACTGAAGGAAGCTTAAGCCCCCCGCACCTGAGCACACGTAACGATCATGAGAGCTTCAAAAAAGTTTGAACCGTGGAAATTATAAGTACGCCTAGTAATTAATATACACGTACCGACATAACCGAAGAACAGACAATATAACGCGGCTACTATTGGTGCTGGTATCGAAGCAAAGATGGCTCCAAATTTGCCTGATGATCACAATTTGGTCAGAAAACTAAAACAACGGAATTCTGTAAATCAAGAAACCATAACCGAGTATAACTTACCAAGAATAGAAAAGAAAATCATGAACCCAGCAGATATCTGGACTACTCTTCGACTGCCAACACGGGTAAGTGCTAGAAGGCCAGCATTCTCACTGCATACACAAGCAAATAAGACTTACAGGCAAAAAAGTGCTTCGGGATTTCAGCAACTACTTTACAAAGAGATTAACATGTGGATTTGGAGTTTTTAGAAGCAAAACTTACATGGATACGGAAGATCCATTTCCAGTTCCAAACAGCCCAGATAATAAAATGGCAATTCCCTGGAAAGCCAAAAAATTTTAGCACCTTTGGGGACTAAAAGATGTCACCAAAAAATAATAATCACTTGTTTAATGAGACATGTCAGACATAATGAGAATTATGAATGCAATCAAGCAAAGGAAATGGGTGAGGTAAGTGACGAATTGTTCATAACAGGCTAGGGAATTCTAATCTACAGATTACACCCTTCTTTTCAACACACTGGAAAACGTTCTCATTATTATCAATTTATCGCAGAGATCCTATATTTTTTATCCACTTCTATAGTTCTATTTATTGCTCACATCCCCTTCCCCAAGAACCCAAACAAAAAAGATCCTTTGAGGGCAACTCCCGCCAAGTTGGTAAGGCAACAGACTTGGTAACCTCAAGGTTAAAAATTCCACTCCCGGCAAGAGTGGTCTATTGGCCTTCTTGGTTTGAGCTGCTCAGCTATGGACAACATAAGCTGGTTTACCTCTTTGTAGTCATTTGTCGGCTATGGTCACGAGGTAGGGTTTACCCCGCCCCGTGCACACCCTCGAGTAGTGGCTATGGGTTTCCCTCGGGTAGATCTAGCGGGCAACAACCACTTGATAAATGTGCATATTACCTGCCAACCTACACCGCGGCTTAGAATGGATGGTGGCAATGGAGTTGCACTTGCAAACCTCGCAACGGCAATAAAACCACCAGTAGACTGCAAACACCACATTAATCCAAGCAAAATAGGAAGTTAATTCAAGACCCGCATTTAAATTTATAATTAAAAGTTAGCGTTAACAATGCATAAAAATCCAATTACTCCCTACAATAAGAACAAACAAAAAAGTACAACTAACAAAACCACAGAGTTCTTTGGCTATCTGGTTGTCCTATCATACTTAAAACCAATTGGTGATAAGTAGGTAGACATTAACGATTTAACCATTTAGCGACAATACGAGTTCAGGTATTTCTTTGATCTCAAAGGTGAAAACAAACCTCTACGAGTGCAACAAACGCAGCCATCATCATGGCAAAGGCTTCACCTGCATCAAACGAAGGGGCTCCCCATTGAAAGGGGTATGGAATTCTAATCCTGTAAACATAATCGCATGTAAGGAACATATGAAAATCTTGAAGACATCAAACTATATGTAGTTTCCGATTTAGAAGATACGAGTAATGTTAGATTTCCATCTTAAATTTATCTCTTGTTGTGCCATTACTCAATTAGTTTTTCTTTGTATTTATTGCTAAATTGACTCTTTAAACTTACAATGCCAATCCATGAGCAATCAATAAATATAACGAGTTCTATTGTCATATTAGGAAGAAAACACTATAGAGATAAATTAAAAAAGGGAAAACTTTCATTCGTACTTTGATCATAAAGTAGTCATATGCAAAATTATCACTTACCATGGTGCAGCGTCAATGAGTCCAGAGCGATCAGTTCGGCAGCTTGCTTGGGTCTTCGGTGGCTTCCCGTTATAAGCCCCACCAACAGTAAGTAGGAGGGCATAAATCCAAACAATTGCTACAGAGAATATTACAGCAAAACGATCGAAAATATGCTTCCCGGGCTTTATCAGACGAGCCAGATACTGAAATGCCAACATTAATGATTTTACGATTAAAACAATGCACTTGATGGATGAACAGAATTTACGTTTATTTAGAATTCTATGGATTTCCACCACTCGTACCTGGGAGAAAATGACTAAAATGACAAGCTGTGGTAACCCGACTTCAACACATTTCGCAACCTAAACAACAGCAATCAAATCATATGTTAATAATTAGCCAATTAGAGGGGCAAATTGCAGAGGCGAATTAGCGTTCAAAGAGACAATTTGTACTCACCCCTGGGAAACCGAACTCATAGAGACCAAAACCAGCAAGAGCGACCAACGGAACTGCTGAAAGCGGGCTCAAAAACCTAACAAGCAAACCGGGGATAAGGACAACAAATTCCTCTCACCAAACAACATATCAGTGTTACGATAACTATATAAACTAATGCAACTATAAAACCGCAAGTCCAACACAGAATGTCACCACAGAAAAAGGCAATAATCTTCAACGAGACATTACTTCTAAGATCAATAAATACAATGTTAAACAACCTCGTAACGTTGCGCCAGAGACCACTAAAGCCCAAGACTATCTGGATAGTCGAAGCAACAATAAGTGCACCTTGTGTTGCCCGCATTATCTTCTTGAATTTCTGGTGAGAACGAAAACAAATAAATTAGGAAAAACATTACAGCAAGTCTGCAACTAAACACGCCATTTTCGAGTAATCATCTTCAGCTTTTCCCCTGTTTACAGCAAGGTTGCAGAGTCTCGAGGGTACAAACCGATATCGGGTCCGGGTCATTCCAACGACCAGACAGGATAATCGAAATCGTCGGTGCAACAAAGGTGTACGACGCTCCGATCACAGCAGGCAATCTGGTCCCGAAGAACGACTGCAACAACGTGTTCAGCCCAGCAACAAATAGCAATGTCTGAATAACTTTGGCTTTCTCCTCCTGCAACAAACGCAAATGCCAGTTCATTCTAATACGAAATCCCCTTTTTTATAATAATCAAACAGCAAAAAAAGTCCTCGAGGCCTAACATTTCCACCTCCCATCTGGGGAACTAGGGCGGTGGGAATTATAACTGCTGTGCCAAGCATCACAAGATAGTGTTGAAATCCAAGAAGAATGGCCTCAGCTGCAATACAGCAAGAACACTATATGAATGTATGTATAGATTAACAAGGAAGAAAATCTATGCAGATTTTAGAAATACCCAGAAAATAAACTCAAAGATGCAAGCCAATAACCGAACAGTTTATAGGCAACCTAATCTGTCAGCAAAGAATTCCTCATTTCCCAGAAAAGTAC